AATGCGATCCTTGATACACTGAGCACAGGCAGGGATTTATGACAATATGTGGGCAAATACAAAAGTATTGATACAGAGTAGATACAGAGTCGATTTTGGTTCCATTTCCTCAGTTGAAATCATCAAAAACTTCACCCAAACATGTTTCCACCTTTTGAGGCGTCCCGGCATCGTTTTTCACCCTGCATGCTGTCGCGACACGACAGGATAGCTGTTGGTTTTTTCGTTGGTCCCGGAGATCCCAGGAGCTCTGCAGTCACGAAAAATCCACTTCTCAGCAGTTTGGATTCCAAAGACATATCAAAATCATTCAAAATAACTGGGATACAACGCCCAGTTATAAGATATTGGCTGCTAAGATTGATGCGAATCTTTTGATGCAACTTATTTTCTATGATGTTGTGTGACCGTATTTGCAGCAGCTTTGATGGCAAAGGGTGCTGATTTCATGGCCCAACAAACAAACCTTCACCCCTTGCTGGCCGGATGGCTATGGATGGCTAAGCATCCAACTTCTGCACACCTCAGGACAGGTGATGGTGCAGTGAATTCCGAAGGCCGGTTGCTGCAGCTGACAAAGATCTTCCGTTTGGAGAGGATTGGATTCCTACGGTTTTGCAGCAACATTTCCCAAACTGCGACTCAGTGCAGCGGATGTTCAGTTCAACACACCTGGCAGGTGAATCTGTTGAAGTGGAACTTATCTGATCGAATGGTTGCACTGTAAGCCGCCGGTAAGGTGCCGAGGATGGTTGGCTATGGTGTGAGAAGTCACCAGCTGAATTTTGATGGTTTTAGATCATTTTGAATTCAAGATATTCAATCACTATGGCTCTATGGGATTGCATCCCCAAAGGAAAGACGTGATGATATTCGACATGAAGGGGTTCCTGGTTGATGCCCATGACACTTTGACATCTGGGTGACTTGATCGTTTCGTGCCCCTTGAGTCGATTTCTTTGGGCACGGAGTTGGACAATTCTTGATGGGATCCAAGATATCCAAGGCGACCAGCTGCCCAAACCCACGAGGACGGGCAGATGTCACACGGCAGCCCGAGTTTTTGAGTCACAGAACTAGCTATGGCTCAAAATGTACTGATCCCCCAATGATGGATGGTTAGATATGGTGAAATAAATAAATATATAGTCAAATGAGAAGCTTAGATTCTGAGCCGAATCACTTGTGGGCCATGGCCAACTCAGACATTTGCTATGAAAAAGGCAATCCAACGACCTGGACCCACTGATCAGCTAGCCATGGCCTGGCACTGAATACGACTCCGTCGATGTCTCTGTCGCGTAGAAAAGTGAATAAGGGAACATTTGCGAGTCTGGGAGCGTCAATTTAGAATCAGTGTCATTTCAGAATTATGTTTGAGGGTGTTTCTAACTTTCTGGTGATTCTAGTGAATCCTTGGCGATGAAATTGACGCGTTGGACGTGTTCTGAACATTCTGAATGGTGCGCAGTATCCATCGGAACATATTACAACTCGTTGCGTGCGAGGCTGGACCATGCACTTTGCACCTGGCGAAGCCAAGAGGCTTTTTGAGGTAGTTGGTCGGGTGGGTCTTTGGCCATTTTCGTTCCTTTGCCAAAACGGGTAAAATACGGTTGCTATGCTGAGGACTATGCATTTGAGAGAAGTCTGTCTGCGCATGCAACGTTTCTCTCGTTCTGGATATATGTTTGATGCCACAGAGTTTGTAGTAGAAGTAAGAGGGGGCCTGCCAGTTTTGCATCATGGCAGCAGCAACAAACAATTTGCACTTCCCATTTGATCGACGGATTGCACCGAAAAACATTAAAACAGAACTTGGACAGGTGCTGAAGATTCAACGGGAGCGCCGAGTGCTGAAGAATAGGGGTACCGTGAGAAAAAATTGGACGCTGCACTCCTCTGATCTTTAATGATGTTGGATTTCTTGGATTTCAGACAAATGATTTCTTCAGAGTTGGCCTCGGGACCTTGTGCTTTGTGAAGTTCGCGCAGCAATGCACATCCTGCAGCCGCCATTGCTCAACAGGCCGGCGAAGAAAAAACCTTGCAATCAGCACCACCATGATGATCCTGCTCACGACCGCCTTGGGCGTAGCGTGCGGTTTCACCCTGCCGGACATCCCTGATATGCCGGATTTGGTTGAATCGGTGCAGAGCGTGCTCAAATGGAATTTCACTGAGGAGAGAGTGGAAGAACCAAAGACGTTCCTTCCCAGTATTGCGGAGATCAATGCCATGTCTGATGAAGAGAAAACGGACCGTTTTCATTGGTTCTTTTCAGTTTTCGTGATGGTCTATGTTTGTTTTGTTTTCCTTGGATCAGGCATCATGATTGGAGGGGCCGAGTTGAAAGCACGTGGCGACTATCAGGCTCTCGGCCGACCAGTCCCGCTGAGCAAAGAGGCTCAAATTCTGCTGGTCATGCTAAGCTTGTTAGTGACGGTCTCCTTGAGCTTCACTGCCTCCATTTGGAGCCTTCAAACCGGAAGGCTTTCAAAAAAGTTGGGACTGGATTGGGAAGTTTATTTGTTCCTTTTTTGTTGTGGTTGTTTATCACTTCTGATCCAATCCGTGGTGGCGGTGGCGTGGCTGAAAGCTGGGGACCGCTTTGATGCCACAGCTTTCGCCGTGGCCTCGATGTCCGTTTTGCCCGTTGTCTCTGACCAGTTTGATACGCTCAAAGACATCATTTTCGGGGCCCTCTGTGTTCAGTCCGAACACTGGGCGATGAAGGTCCTGGGCGTCTTGAGCTGGCTGTACCTCCTGGCGTTCCACGCCTGGTTTATTTTTTGTGGAGTAGTGGTCGGATTGTATGGTGAAAACGCGGAGGGCGTACCGGGTGCGAACTGTTTCAGTGAGTTGGCTACCAGCCACCTCGCCGTCCTTCTCACGGCGCCCAAGGTGGACGGAGAGTCATCCGCAGGATTCTGGGAAGGAACAATCCTCCCAACGCTGTATAAACAGCTGACACCCTCGAAACGCCAGTATTTGATGACTGAAAATCTGCCGCAGGCAGTGCTTTCTCTTCTCTTTTTGTTTTTTGAAGGAGGGTCCATGTTTATCATCGTGTTGAATTTAGCACTGCCTGCAGTGCAGATCTTTCTCGCCTCGCTCCTTTTCAATCCCGTGCGGGCGGCTGCCGCTCCTGCTTTGGGCAAGGCCCTGAGCAGAGCCGTGCACACCGGTAACCTGATCGCAGCCAAGACCATCTGGCTGGAGGCCAGGTCTGTTGTGGCTTGAAGCATGCCAGGGCACTCGCAGGCCATGTCACCACTTTTTGGAAAGTGCCAAATCCCACAAAGGTTGCAGTATTGATTGCTGGTTCATGCAGTATTCTTCAGGTCACCGTCGGCCATACAATAAAGTTTGCAGTAACTACGTCATGATTCAAATTATGATCATTATGTTTGAACATGTTCGAGCTGAACTTTTAAGAACCTTTGACCACTGCATGCTGAATGCTTCCCAGCCTCTTCCACATATTCGATTTCAGACATTACTTGAGCTGGCTACGTGGAGCCAGGATTGGGCAGGGTTGGCCCCTCTTCATTATTATCTTGGTTGTTCTTCTCTTACTGATCCGGATCCTGTGAAGTAAACAGGTAGAGTCTTTGGAACCCTGGAATCACATGCAGAGGACGAAATGCAACAACAGGGGCATGTGCTGGCAAGCATTGCCAAGCACGCTCCTCCCATGGAACAACTGAGGGCTTCATGCAAGTCATTGTTTTGTGTTTGCATGGTTCTAGTCTCTACACAATTTGCGACGCAAATCATTCGCACACCTATGCCGATGCCCCTTCTAAAATCATGGAGCTGTTAACAAAGCAGAGGGCATTGGGAGACTTCATGCCAGGCAGGTGGATACTATCTGCAAGTTTGCGATGTAAGAGATCCACTTCCAGAAGAGTGAATTCCACCCTCCATTCTCACGCTTGGCAAGTGTCCTAACTTGAAGATCCTCGTGGTAAGGTCACACGCCACAATGCCCCTCCTCCTTAACTTGGTGTGCCTGAACACTGCATAAACTTGTCGATCATATTCAATAGACAGCTAATGACAACTGCCCACAGAAGCAGCATACGTTTCTTCAAAGAAAGGTTTGATCAACCTGCTTTATAGATCTTTATGGAGGCCTATTTTTTTTTGGATTTTTTTTCTTTTACGTTTTTGGAATATTTTTTGGGTTCCTTGTTTTATCTTGCTTTCTCCTTTTTTTTTTGCGTTTTTGCTTTTGTGCTTTTTTGTTTGTTTTTTTTGTTTTTTTTTGCTTGTTTGCTTTTTTTGCTTTTTTGTGTTTTTGCTTTTTTTTTTTTTTTTTTTTTTTTTTTTTTTTTTTTTTTTTTTTTTTTTTTTTTTTTTTTTTTTTTTTTTTTTTTTTTTTTTTTTTTTTTTTTTTTTGCTTTTTTTGTTTTTTTGCTTTTTTGCTTGTTTGCTTTTTTGCTTGTTTGCTTTTGTGCTTTTTTGCTTTTTGCTTTTTTTGATTTTTTGCGTTTTTGCTTTTTTGCTTTTTTGCTTGTTTGCTTTTTGTTTTTTTGCTTTTTGTTATTTTTGTCTTTTTTGCTTTTTTGCTTTTTGCTTGTTTGCTTTTGGCTTTTGGCTTGCTTTCCATGGCTTTTGGTGGTATTTTTAGTATGTCAAACTTGCACATTTTTCAATACACTAGTTTGAATCGACTATATTCATATATATATATATTTATGTTTAAATTAAAATCATAATATATATGTGTTCAAGCAAACAATCGAAATGCCTGTTCGCCGCGCTCAAGCTCATGAGTCCGAGTCTTTTGTCCACGGTCCAGTTCATTCTGGAAGGGTCACGAACAAATTTCTTCGGTTGGGGGTGCCCATCCTATTGTTTTCAACCCACTTACTCTTCCTGGATTTTGATCTTCTCTGTGGGTTTGATTTCAGGGTTTGCCCTTGCCCTTTCCTTGCTCTGGGCCCTCTGGACTTTCTTTGGCCAATTTCACTTCCCTGCTGCTCCTGCCTCAGGCTCTGTGCCCCAAAACCCTAGGTACTCGGTGCTTGCCGAGTATCTGAATGAGCCAAGGGCCCAACGACCACGGCATCGTTGAACTTTCTGTCAGGTTGGGGGAGCTCCAGGTCACCATCAAAGGCCCTGTGGGAAAGGCCACCAAGCTGCTGCAGGACATCACAAGCCGAGGGCCTCCTAGCTCTCCTGCTCACTCTGGCACTTCTGAGACTTCTTTTGCTGTGGTGTCTGAGGTTGAGCACACCACCACACGGAGGACTGAAACAAGAGCGGAGATTGAGGCCTCGTTTGAGGGGTGCCCTGCCTACCTCATTGCGGACGGTCATCGCCTTTCTGGTGGCCCACTGTCTGGTGAGGACAGAGTGCGCCGAGCTTGGTTGGCTGGGAAGTGGGCACGTGCTTTCTCTTCAGGGAGGTCAAGCTCTCCAAACGCCTCTCCACAGCTGCCATTGCGATCGAAGTGTTACGCTGTGCTCAGATCAGAGCGTTTGCAGCGGCCCACCATATACAGATCTGCACGATCATACTGGGCTTGTGTGGGGGAACTGGCCACATCAGACTCCATTTCCCATTCATTTCCCTCTGAACAAGAAGCAAAGGTGTACTTTGCCGGGGCAGGCGTCTCCGACTTTGACATCTTGCAGTAGACATGGATTCCCTAGATGGATTGGAGGCAGTGGAGACTCCCGACATTGTCCTGGCCACCGAGGTGTTAGAGCCCTACGTGCTCACCTGGCAGCTGGGGGAAACTACAGATGGAGAGGGAGAATGTTCAGTTTTGGCAATTATGAGGCGAACAGATGGCTATCTTCTCGCCATGCCACCAGGCTTCCTCCCAAACGAGGTGATCGAGGCAGGAAACAGTGCAGCCTTGACAGACATGTTTGGGCCATCTGCGCGAATCGTGGTGCCGTCAGTGATTGTGGAGTACGGCCAGCTTATGCCCACAGGGTCAGACATAGAGGTGCTGGTTGTCGACTGCAGGGCTCAGATCGCTCATCACTTAAGGCGATTTGGACCTACCGAGGAGATCGTGTATGGTTTCGACGAGGATTCTCCATTTGCCCTGCCGGCTCTGGACGCTCTGATCCCTCTTGTCCGGAGTTGGCTGGTAGGAGATCGAGCAGAGCTTTCGGCCTTCTACACACCGGAGGAGCACGAGGACCCTCCGGACACGCCACCATCAAGAAGTGCCACTCAGCGTGGGCCAGGGCGAAAGCCTACCGCTTCCGCCGGGCTGCCAAAAGCCAAGCGCCCAACTGCAGCTTCACTGGCGGTGGAGATGAAACAGCTGGTGGACTACCTGCCAAAGATCTCAGAGCAGCTGGCCACTCTTTCTCACCGGCAGGATATGGTAGAGAACAGACTGGCTCACCCTATGTCATCAGCATCTTTGATTTCATCCAGACCTCTGGGAGCAGCTCTCTCTTCGACGCAGGAGCCACCTTTGGGTCAACTGGCAAAGGCTATGGGGGGCCCTCCACGAACCACTTCAGCTCCGAGCCTTGGTTTGTTGGGTTCCCTTACGGAGGCAAAGCCTGCGGAGGTTCAGGGCCTAGAATCCGAGAAGCTGGGAGATGCAGCGCAGTTGAGCCAGAAAGGAGACGTCTCTCTGGCGTTAGCGGTGCTGGAGCAATCAAAGGCTTTAACAGCCTTGGTGTCACAGATTGCGGCGGCTCAGAACGACCCTATGGCAGATCTCTCTGCTGGCAGCTCAGCCAGCACACCGGGGGCGGCAGGGCGTGCTCGCCTTCAGGCGGAACTGGCTCAGCAAAAGGGATCATTTTTCCAATCGGTTCTTTTGCAGATGGCCCGGAGGATGTCCCCAACAACTTCAGTGGATGTCTCTCCCCAAGTTCTTTTGGACAGAGGTGTTTCTGGCACGAGATATTTAGAACGCTTTGGAGGCTACTCCAGACAGCGAGAGCTTGGCCAGCTGCAATATCAAGTGATGACAGTCTTCGACTACTTGTTGCAGGAAAACATCCCAGCTGCCAAGGACGCAGTTGCCTTGTTGGCGGTGACCATCGAGCAGGCTGCATTGGACAATGGCCGCATGGACTTGGCCACCTTGCTGTGTCTTCAGGAGGACCCCCCGTCAGGGATCTTCCTGAATCGTCAGATAGCCAGCACCAGCAGGGCCAGGAGCTTCGCGCCTCTTGCCGATCAAAAATGGATCACTTGTGCACTGGCTTTCCTGAAAGAGTTGGAGGTGATCACAGCGAAGAGGGCAGAATTGACTGCTCCGCCAAAGGGCACTTCCCCAGCTTCATCAGAGGCGCCAAAGCCGAAGCCGAAATCAAAGAAGGCCGGAAGAGGAAAAGGGCGAGCCGAGCCAGAGGATCCAGAGACTTAGAATGTGGCGAAGATCATCGGCCTTGTTCCAATGGTGGGAGCCTACGCACAGATGAGGGACTGGAGTCAAGCCCTCTTGAGGCCTCACTTGATTTTTGTACTTGGGCCATTTGCTTGCCCAGGTGGATTTCGAGGTGCAAAACCAGTTTTTCTTGGCACCTCACAAAAAGTTTCACCGCTTCCAGACATAGTTCTTCTTTGTCTTCCACAGCATTTCCGCTGCCTTTGCCCCTTGATGGATGCTTTCAGCGCAGTGGCCCCAATCTCTCAAAGAAGCGTTTGTTGGCTGTAGCAAAGAGGCGACTCTTGCACATTTTGGTCTATAGCTTGAACGTTCTGTACCTTGGCAGGTTCCCTACAGCCGAGGAGATTGGGAGGCGACCTTCGGTCTGGCACTTGAGGTGCTTTCAGAGACTTAGGGCGCTCATTGCTGTGTGTGGAGATGATGCCGGTCGGTTTCCCTTGCCTCCCGGCCGCTCCGGTCCTGAATTAGTTGCACACCTGTTCCAGCTTGAGAAGTTTCTTGACCGAAGTGAAGAGAAATTTGATAGCTACCTGAGACCCAGCCCATGTGAGTTTAAGCCAGATCCGTCGCTCTTGCCCGCTGGAGAACATCCTGAGCTGTTCCCTTATAAGAACCTCGATGCAGACAGACTGAAGCTTGTTGGCGAGGGCAAGTGGCCAATGGCTGACTTCATTGAAGGACCACTGTGGCTCCCTTTCGTTGAACCTCGTTTTCTTTTGCATGGCCTGGACATTTCACAATGTGATCTTCCTAACTTTGCATATGAAGACAAGGATGAGAATCTCAAGCTTGTCAAAATTTGGGATAGGAAAGGGCTCCTGCGGCTTTACAGATCTCCTCTTGCACCCAGTCATTTCTGCAGAGTTTTCAATGCCTACAAGAACACTGACTGTGATCGGCAAATTGGGGATCGTCGGATTCCCAACGCCCGAGAACGCGCTATTGATGGGCCTTCAGCCTTCTTGCCCCCGGGCTTCAGTTTGACAAACATGAGGACCCGGCCTTTCTCCGAGCGCCTGGTTGCCAGCATCACGGACAGACGTGATTTTTACCATCAAGCTCAGGTCACCGATGAAAGGGCTGTCACAAACATGTTGCCTTTTGCTTTTTCAGAAGATCAGCTTGATGGGTGTGTTGCGCTTGATGTTGCAAAGGCAGCTGAGAAGAAGGCGAGCAGAAAGAAGAATGAGCGGGAGCTCGTAGGTGATGGTTTTGGAAAAGCCTCTCACCTTTCGGCTGTCTCAGAGAGGTGGTTCCCAGCTTTTGGTTCTCTTTTCCAAGGGGATCACTTGGGCGTTGAATTTGCTCTGGAGTCCCATGAAACCCTGCTCAAGCGTGGTGGCCTTTTGGTTGATGAGCACCGCCTGCGAGGGCGCCATCCATTTCCTCTCTCTGGAAAGGTTGAAGGGCTCATCATTGATGACTACTTTGCAATTGGGCGAGAGAGCAGGTTCCAGCAGCCCCCAAATACCTTTGCGGCTCAGGCCTTGGCTCGGGCTCGACAGCTTTACGATGCTGGCGGACTTTTGGGGTCAACGGAGAAGGACGTTGTGGCTGCGTCGGTATTCAAAGCTGCAGGCGCTGAGGTTGTTTCATCAGACCGTGCCATTGACCTGGGTTTGACAACAGTTGGAGCTCCTTGTGCAAAACGGCTCTCCCTAAGCACTCTATCGCTTCGAGCTGCCAGGATGAATGTCACGACTGCAAAGCTGCTCTCCAGACTTGCTGGCAGTTGGACTTCTGTCATCATGTTTCGCAGGTGTTTTTCTGCGGTCGTCCAGGACATGTTCAAGCTTGCGTCTGAAGCGGAGACCCAGGGTTCAAACAGCTTGGTGTACCTATCACCTTCAGTGCGAGAGGAGCTTATCATGCTTGCTATTTTTGCGCCTATCATTGTCACCAATGTTGCAGTCAACTATGGGCAGGTTGTTTTTGCCTCGGATGCCTCCCTTGCAAAGGGGGCTTTCACTAGCCGCAGAGTCACTGAGGAGACAGCTGAAGTTTTGTGGTTAGGTAGTGACAAGAAAGGGTGCTACAGCAAGCTTAGCTCCTTCCCCCAGAACTTGTTGGCCGCTTGTGGCGAAGAGCTTGAGGATGATGCTTTTCAGGGGCCTGAGACTGTGGTGCCGTCTCCTGAGAAACCCAGGCTCTTGCGTTTTGACTTTGTGGAGATTTACGGTGGCTCTGGGCGGGTCTCAAAAGCAGCAAATGACCTTGGGCTTGTCACCGCTCCTCCCCTGGATTTGGATGCCTCGCATCACTATGATCTTGCCCAACCCAGACTGGTCGAGTGGGTCTTCTACATGATTGAGTCAGGCCGGTTTCGATCCTTCCTCACAGAGCCTCCATGTACAACTTTCTCTGCGGCGGCATAATCAGCGTTGAGGTCATACCTATTGCCTTTTGGTTTTGACCCTTCGGAGAAGCGCACCAAACATGGGAATTTGCTGGCTTGCAGGTCCTTCCTGTTGCTGAGACATGGCCGCAGACACAGAAGGCCTTGTGGAAAGGAGCAGCCCAGAAGGTCAAAAATGGCTTGGTTGAAAGCATGGGCCCAACTTAAGGCACTTGGCTTCAAGGAGTCTGTAGTTGCAAGCTGCCAGTTTGGTTCTCCGCACCGGAAGGAGTTTTTGCTTTTGACCTACATGCTTGATGCGGAGTCCCTACAGGTGAAGTGTCCAGGTGGCCATGATCACGTGAAAATCCAGGGTAGCTTTACCAAGCAGTCGGCGGTTTACACATTTGATTTGGCAAAGCACTTTGCATGGCATTTCTATAAGGCCTTGCGGGCGTTGGATTTGCAGGAGGAGGAGTTCAGGGCTGGTGGCCATGAATCTGCTCTCACCAATGATGTGCTTTCCTCTGGAGCCTGGAGGACTGAGCGTGTCTGGAGCTGGAGGGAGAAAAGTCACATCAACGTTTTGGAGGCAAAGAGCGCTTGTGAGATTGTCAAGAAGGCCGCGGTTGATTACACGTCCTGCCGGGTTGTTGCCCTGCTGGACTCAAGAGTTGCGAAAGGGGCCCTCGCAAAGGGGAGAAGCACAGCTGTTGGTCTGCAGAAAGTCTGCCGGCGAAGTGCCGCCCTTCAAATTGCGGCTGATCTCCATATGGGTTGGCTTTTTGCGCCAACACGGCTGAACTGCGCTGATGACCCTACCAGAGATGTCACCTTGAGAAGAAGCAGTTATTTTTCCATTCTGGACTTCATGAATCAGCGGGAGCTCCAGGCCCTGCATTCCCAGACCTGGTCCAGACCTTGGGCAAACTGGATTAGACTTGCAGTGCTTCTCACGTGCGTTTGTTCTGCTGGAGCTGCGAAAGAGCCAGAAGCATCAGGACTGAGTGAGGTTTTCCATTTTCCCAAAAGTTTGATTTTTGGTAATGGGTTAGCCGTGGCAGTTTTGGTTGCACTTTGCCTCATTTGGATTTTAGCTGTTGGTCAAGTCACTGACTTTGGACTTTGGATTTTTAGCTGCTTGGACTTGGATTTTGGGCAGCTTGACTTGGCCAACACTGTGTCGATCTCAGCCATCGCCCCAACCGATTGCTTTGGATTTTCTTTTGGACTTTCCTCAAAGCTCGTGACTCTTCCTTCTCCAGTCCTGGATTTCGGTGTCCTGTCTGGTCTTTTGTCTCGCGATGTCCCCCGGGTCGCGTGGATTTGGGTAGTTGTATCGGGCGCGTTTGCCATGGAAGCTTCATCTGCTGCCGACTTGCGCCGATCTGCCTGCAGGTCAGCTGGAGGGTTACAACCTACGAGGGTCGCACGAAAGGAGACCTTGGAAGCCAGAACACGTTTGCTGGATGGGTTTGGAAAATGGCTCTATGATACACATGGAGTCCTGCTTTCGGTTTTGTTGACCGCAAAACCAGCTGACCCCGAAGAGATCACGTATTGGCTGGTGCAGTACGGCCAACAAATGTACCTGGCCGGTCGTGCCTATGGAAAGTACGCTGAGACTGTGAATGCCATTGCCATGATGCGCCCAAGCATCAAAAAGCAGTTGACAGGAGCCTGGGACCTTGCGTTTGCGTGGTTGGCAGATGAGCCCTGCCAGCATCATCCAGCATTGCCGCTGTCCATATTGCTGGCTTTGTGCTCGCTTGCACTGCTTTGGGGCTGGCCAGTCGAGGCGTCGCTTTTGGCTATGACTTGGTGTGGCATTATGAGGATCGGAGAGACCTTGCTCACAACCCGGGGGGATTTGATTTTGCCTGGTGACTCAGCCCCTGGGACGAATTTTGTTTTGGTCCGGATCCGCATGCCGAAAACTCGAGGAAGGGCTGCCCGTCATCAAGCTGCACGCATCGATCCGCCGGATGTGGTGACATTGCTGACTGCCACCTTTGCTTCCCTGCCTGAAGATGAGAAGCTCTGGAAATTGTCAGCAGCAACACTGAGGCGACGCTTTGAGTCGCTCCTGAGAGGAGTGGGTCTGCCGACTCATAGCATTGATGGGAAGCGTCCCTTCTCTTTGGGGTCCTTGCGACCCGGTGGGGCCACTTTCTTGCTCCTGCATACAGAAGACGCAGAACTGGTGCGCCATCGTGGCAGATGGGTCACGTCAAAGGTTTGCGAAATCTACTTGCAGGAGGTTCTGTACACCACTTATACTGAAAAGCTTCAAGGTGGTGTGCGTCAAACGATCCAAACTCTGTCTGCAGCATTCCCACGAATCCTCCAGACTGCGGTTCAGTACCTGCAAAGTGGATTGCCGACAACCGTTTGGTATCAATGCTTCCAAGCACAAGACAACGAGGAGCTTGGGGCGGCTGGTGGAGATGATGCAAAGTACAGTGCTGCCCAGGCCAAAACACAGGCCACAGCAGCTGAGAATTCCTTCAGGAAGCGGTGAAAAGAGAATGCAGTGCCTTTTGCTTGTGTTCAAGCAAACAATCGAAATGCCTGTTCGCCGCGCTCAAGCTCCCCAGCCCTTTTTCATCCCGCCCTTGTGGCTGTCAGTGCTTGCAAAGTA